TGACCTTACCTCAAGGCTGTCCCATCAGTCACTACCCAAACCGCTGGCCTTCTAGCAGTTCCTGAAATGCCTCTAGGGTTTTCTTGCCTCGAGGCCTTGTATACGCTCAACTCCACCTGGGATGAAAAGTCTTGCCCAGTCCCTTTACAGGACTAATGATTTCTCATGCTTGAAGTCTCAGCTCACATGTCAGCTCTACAGTAAACCCTCCCTCACTGCTCTAAAACAGGACAGCCACCCCTGCATTCTCCCTCAGCATCTCATTTCCTTTCCAGCACATCCCCATGGCTTTATGGGAATTGATCTGTTATTTCTAACCTGTTGGGTCCACCAGACTCTAAGCTCAATGAGAGTAGGAATAAATATGTATTATTCAGCATAATTCTCAAAATTTAACACAATTCCTGGCATGTGCCTAAAAATGGTAATTAACATTTTTTATTTCCCTAATATGCCACGTCTTCACAGATACTGCTGCTCCCTCTACTGAGACTACCACCACCATCATCCCCACTCCCCTCTGCTACCACTCTCGCCCTTTGCACACCTTTACTCATCTCTCCTTTCTCAGCTAAAACACCTTCTTGATGAAGGCTGCTTTCCTTTCTTGAGCTGTCCCGAGAAAAGTCTCTCCATTTCCTTACCTATTCAGGACTAGCTGCACCTCAACCATAGCACTGACCGGAGTGTATCATACTGGCGCTTTTTTGGTGGGGAGGGAGCCTGGAGGGAGTTTGTTTTGTTTTGCATTTGTCTCACTACTTTGGAAAACCTTAAAATGAAGAAAAACCATTTCATTTTTGTGTCCCTAGCACGTAGCCCACTACCAGGCACATGATACAGTACTACTAATCAAGACAATACCAATAATGACTAACATTTTTGAGTGCTCAATATGTGCTTCACACCCTTAGTTCTATAGTGAGTGAGTGAATGAATAAATGGATACCCTTCTTGGTCACAAACCTCGAAGAGGTCACAGTCTGACAGGGACAGAAGACAGGTATGCTGGCTAATGCAGAATACATACCACCACAGGGCCAAATGAGCTGCCCTGTCCTGTCCCTACGCCTTCAAATCTTAAGAGTATGCTTTTCTCTGCATCCATAAATGTCAGGTTTCCTCAAACTCACTTAGACTACTTCCTTCGATTACTTGCAATCCACTTCCTGCCCTTGGTGCCTGGAAACAATTTCTAGGATGTCACCACAAGCAATATTAAACTGCCACACAGTTTCCTGCTGTATGTCTGCATTATCAGTTAAATTGCTTCATATTAACCACATTCTAGTCCACTGGGATCACTCAAACACTAAATAAGATTTAAACTTACCTGTCAGAGATTGCCAGTTTCCACTGCTCCTTTTATCCCTCTAGATAAAGGTCTGCTCAGATTTAAAGTTCAGGAGCTTTCCAGTGTGCTCCCTGCATACTGGTGACCTTTTCTTTCCCTGGCCAAGTAGATGTTTGGTTTGAAGCTAGACAATGTTCATTTAGATAAACATGAACTATAAAAACACACTTTAGAAAAAAGTAATCCTCTGCATAGACCAGGGCAATTAACTTAAAAACATAAAAACTCTTTATCCTCAAGAGTTCAGGTAGCAAACTGTTCTTTTAATTCTATGTACACTCAACTTGGAGCCTTAGTCAGGATCTTAATTCAGATCCTACCATAAATCATTAATCCTACCTTAAATCAGTCCATAAACTCTTCCTAAACAACTTTGTATGTCAGGTACCGGGTCTGACACAGGGAACTCAAGGACAAATAAAGACAGTCCTGCTCTCAAGAAGTTTATCTCCCGTTTAATATGGAAGACAGTCAAGGAAATGAATTTGATGCTAGAACAGTGATCAACACAAGGGGCCACAGAAACTCATGAGGGGCACCTGGCCTGGGCTGGCGAGGAGTGCACAGATAAAGGGCACCTGCTTTAGGGTGAAGAGAAGATGCACAGATGAGGGGCACCTGGCCTAGGCTAGGGGGGTGGTTGCACAGATGAGGGCAGCTGGCCGAGGCTGGGGAGGGGTTGAGGGTGCAGAACCGGCATCAGGGCAGGCTTCCTGGGGATAGCATCTAATCTTAGGCAAATAAACTCCCATTCTCTCACATGAAAAATGTGGTTAGTAGTGCCTACATCATTGGACAGTTGTAGGGATTTGGTGAAATGGTTCACATAAAGCAATACCATCATGCCTGACACAGAGACTGTGCTCAACCAGCCTTAGCTTGAAGTGTGATCAAGCACTAAATCTCAACACCTGTGCCTAGCAACGCACCTGCTTTACTACTAATCATACAAGACACCAGCTGTACAATTACAGTATTGTTTTAATCAACCTTTATTTTTTAATAAGAGAATGTTAAGTCCTGCTCTTCACATCAAGAGTTTAATTCCTTGATCAAAACTTTCTTCATTTCTTAGAACATACCATTTCTGACACTTCTGGCATAAAATATACGGGTTTTCTTAGTTTGATAGAGAAGCTAAAAAAGAGAACAACTGCTGAATTTTTAGTACAGGGCCAGCAATCATGTTGATACAGCATTTATTGCTCATTATGACTCTGCAACATATAGTCTTCCCCATTATACCCTTAGGGAAACTGAGGGTGAAAGAGGTAGTTTGTGTGAAGTTCCATAGTCAGTAGACAAAAGAGCCGGAATTTGAACCAGATCTGATTCCACATCATCAGCCTGACTGGGCCACACAGCATCAGAGATAAGAGGAAACAGTGGCGGCCACAGTGCTCTCCTGTTGAGGGGCCCGAGTGCTGTGTTCCACCCCACCCCAACGCACACGCATGCGTGCACACACACACACACCCACACACACACGACTGTCCCTACACAACAGAGCCTGCACACTTATATTTCAACTCAGGCAGCTCAATACCTTGAGCTAATTCTGTTCTTTCCTGTCAGGGTAAAACAGTGACCAAAGCTCTATTTCCTCCAAAGACTAGGGCAGCATCTATATAGATGGTCCCTAGCCACCTGTCCATCCCCATATCTAGCTGCAGACGGAAGTTGCTTAGTCAATAGTCACCATAAATCACAACTATTTTTCATAACTTCTCTTCATATTCTCTGTCTCACCACAAATAAAGCAAACATTTTCCCAAGCCTAAGCTTTTATCTCAGTCTAGTTTCAAGATCAAAAAAGCTATTCTTTATGCTAATTTCACCTTAGTATATTCCTTCACCCAAGTGCTCAGATTTAACAGTAATGGGTTCCACAAAACACACTTGAGAAATGTATGCTAACCTGCAACCTTCAAGAGCAAGACAGAGACGGGATGTCTAGTCATCTGACCTTCCATGCGTTGGATTTTCATGCTGGTTCTGGCACTGACAGCCTCATGTCAAGCAAGTTTCTGAACTTCTTTATAACAAAGGTAAGCATCCTCACAAGCATACTCTGCGACTGTAAGGTGGCTTTTGGAAAGTGTTTCTAAGTGCTATTGAAATTCAAGTTTACAACTCTTTCTTGGAAACAAGAGCTAAACTTGGAGTACCTCCTTAATCCCAATGCTTTACAAACTACGTCTTTTTACCTCCCACACCTCTTAAACTGTTGTTTGAAGCACACTTCTTTCTCCCCTTGTTTCCACAAAATCAAAAATGAACAGTGTGCTCATCCGACTGTTCCATTTTCATCACCATAAGCAAACTTTTCTAGCTTCATTTAGCGGATGTCTCACGGCTGCTGCAGCACATGAGACATTTAGTGAATGGGAAGCCTAAGCCTGTCAAGGGACTACAAGGATGGGCAAGGGTCACGCTGCATGGACATCTACTGGACATGAGACAACATCTGCATAATTATTAGAGTTCGTCCCCAAGGCCCTTCCCCTTTCAAACTTCCCAAGCATTATTCTCAAAGTGCTGAAATAAACACATTCCACAGACTTTCTTGTAAGCAGGTTTAAAGTGTCCTATGGTCTCCTGCTGCTGTTGTTTGAACTTTACATTAAAAAGCTTTGTCACGAGAAAAAAATAATAATAATAAAGTGTCCTATGAAAGCTGTTTAGGGAAAAGCCTATGCTGTCAACTTTAAGTGCCCTTAAACAATTCTATTACTCATAGAGAAAAGTGAACATTTGTTAGTGATTAGAGATAAAGCATCTCATGTTCTGGAGCTGAGGAAGGGAGAGGCCGAAAAAGGACCTGACGGGGAGGGGAGATAGTGTCTAAAGCAACACACCCAAATTGGACTGCATAAAAGTTGCACTTTCCAAAGTCAACTTCTAGGTTTAGAAGCAAGGCAACAATGTTTCAATGGGTTCTGAAGTTTGATGTATCAACAATATCCCCAGAAAACGAATCCCCCGCTGAGGACCCCAGGTGAATGAATGAGGGAATTCGCCAGATTGGATTACAAAGCCTTTCCAACCACTATCAAGATCAGGTGCTCACTTACGACACAGCCATCTTTCTTCATAGCCTTTGGCCCTTGCTGTGTGGAGACTTTCACAGATAAGAGAGGTAGAAGAGGAAAGAGAAAAGGGCCTTCCTCCTCAGGCCATCCAGACCTTAAATCCATGAGTGGCCCCACCGAGGACCTCAGGCGACTTTATGTGGGGACCGCAGGCCGTAAGCAGACCTCTCAGGACCTGCCCAACTCTCAGGGGCGCCCCAAACACACCCATTTGGGGAGTTGCTTCCGGAGATTTCTCGCCCTCCCCCCAACAGTTGTATGAGCATTTTCAGAGGTTCTATTACCCCCGGGAGGGGGGCCACCTTGTAATCTCTGCGACTCCCGCCCTCAGGTAAGGAGGGGACACCTGACCACTGGAGCCCTTCCACCCCGCGCGCACCCCGCCCCCGCGCCTCCCTGGATCGCCATGGCAACCGTCCCCCTCCCCGCGTGACGCCGGCACGCGGGGCGCCCCTCAGGCCCCGGCAACAAGTCCCCCGCGCCTCCCGCGGCCTGCAGCCCTCTCCCGGCCTCGCCGCCCCGCGCCCGGCCCGGCTCCGCCCGGCCGCACTCACTTGATCCTGGAGCCCATGGTCCCCGGGCCTCCTCATGGGCCCGCGGGCCCCGCTCGGCGCTGCGCTGCCTGCCTGCCCGCCCGCCCGCGGCCGACCGGCCTCCCTCCGGCGCTCTCCCCGCCCCTTCCTCCCTTCCCTCAGGCTGGGCCCGCCCGCTCGAAGCTCGCTCCCTCGTCGCCGCCGCCTCCCCGGGTTAATGTACTCGCTCCAGCCCGGCGAACGCCATGGTCGCCGGCGCGCGTACCCGGCGCGCACCGCCCCCTCCGCCTCTCACACCGCCGCCTCCTCCTGCCCGCGCCGCCGCCGCCACCCGCGGGGTCTGCCGGGAAGTGTAGTCCGCTCGCTGGAGGCGGGGACGCCTGAAGGCTGTGCAGGGCGGGAGCCGCTCATCAGCCCGCGGGACTCGCGGAGCTGGGCGCCCCGTTTCCCCGAGGACCCCCGAAGACTTCCACCCATTGTGCTCCCATTGAAACCTCCACCTACAGAGTGTGGTGAATATACCCTCATCCTATAGAGGCCCCCGAGCTAACCTGAAGAAACCTTCACCCATTCCAACATTATGAGTTCTCCCGCCCAGTAGTTTTGGCGTTGAGATAATGTCTCCCATTCAGGCCTCCGGGGAAAACACAAGTTTTCCCTTTTTTAAATGCCATACCTTCCAGTAAGCCACAGACCGTCTTCTCTATCACACTATCCACCTCCCCAGCATAGTCCTTGATGGAAGCCCCTTCCTCTCCCTAGATCGTTAAGGAAACCTCTCATACCCACAAGAACACCACCGGAGGCTTCGTACTACCCATTTAGTGACTCTGCTCTGCCCTACCCTACACTTGAGGACTTCTGCCTCCCTTTATAAGCCATTTTGGGGGCTCCATACAGAAAGGTCATGTCACCGTAATAGTCCCTGATAGAGAGGAGTTACTCAACGCAAATGAACGTATTTGAGTCAAGCACCAACCTGCTACCTGCCTCCTGTCCTCCTTGGGGCTCACTTTCATGAACACCCCAATATCATTCCCTCTAAGCCTGGGGGAATCACAAAGGAAGCAATAAAGACGGCTGCCACCAACCGTTCACTGAGTGGGTGAGTGTTCTCCCTGAACCAGGCACTACTGGTTCTCTACTATTTCCCCTACATGGTGAGCACCGATCCTCACAATAATCTTGTGAGTTTATCCCCCGCCAACACACACACATCCATTTCACAAAGAGGAAAGGTTACATAACTTGGGACTGGTGGAGCGGAGATTAGCATCCAGGCTGAATAATTCCAAACACATGTGACACCGTTATGATTTAGGATGACACCTTTGGCTACAAGTCAGAAGACATAGGTTCATGGTTCACTTTTGAAATTAATCTTTTCTTCTCCTTATTCCTCCTCTTCTTCTTTTACAATTTTCTGTTTTAAAATGCCATTCATTCCTTCTGCCATTTTAGCTCTTGTAAATTCCTGAGCCCTCTTCTCACCCCTCAATCACTACAGTAACTGGTCCTAGGTCCCAGCCAAGCAGGGAGCAAAGCAAGCCAGAAGAACTGCCTCTTTTGGAGTTATATTCTGTATAAAGGTCATTTCTCTCTTTTGCCTATGCCTTGAGATTGTTGAAAGCAAAGAATGAACTTTTTTGAATTAAAGCAAAAAAATTGAAAATCCAAACCACCATTTTGAATTCAAAGTCTTTTGCACCCAGACACCAACACTGACTTATAAACACCCCCAGGAGCAAAGCTCTGCTAGACAGGCAGGTCCTCTGTGGTGTTTATTCACCTTGTTTCCTATGAACCCTCTCCAAAGAACAGTTGTTATCAAGATCTTCCCTGGAATGAGCAGCCAGTTCAAAAGCTCTGAGCAGGAGACTATAAATAAAACAAAGTTATTTGGTGGAGGGCAAAGTTGGCTGCTTTTCAAAGGAGGTTGTAGCCATCCTGGCCACAAAAATGTCTGGGTGCCTGCTGGGTGGTGTGCGTGTATGTGTGTGTGTGTGTGTGTGTGTGTGTGTGTTTTGGAGGGGGAGACTGGAGGTGGGCTTGGGGGGTTATGTATCTGTCCAGGTGGCCTCTGAAACTGCAGGGTGGTCTGGGGAGAGAGCATTGAACTGGGAGTTAGGAGTCTGACTTCTAATGCTATAGCTGCATGACTGTCGAGCAGAGCAATTTAAAACAAATGATTAGAAAATTGCCTGGTTCAGTTTCCTCCTCAGTAAAATGGCTAGAGGATGAGGAGGAGCTCACATCATAAGAGAGAGTATAATGTAGGAGCTAAGAACCCAGAATATGGAGCCATACTTCCTGGGTCCGATCTCAACTCTACCTCTGACTAAATGTGTGCCCTTGGGTAAGTTATTCACTCTCTCTGTGCCTCAGTTTCTCTGTCTGTAAAATGGAAATTATGGTCATAGATCTTACTGAGTTGACATGAGAATTAAATGAGTACATGACACTTATAAAGTATTTAAACAGTGACCAGCTTATAGGAAGCATGCAAGAATTAACAGCAACTATTATATGCACAACTCAGCACAGTTTTGCTTTTATTATTAATAGTAATAATCTTCATAATAGTCCTGTACTTGGATTGAGAACTGAGTTTCCAACCCAGAATGTAATTGTTTACATTCCGAGTCAGAATTTAGTTCAGCTGTAAATGATAGAAGACTGAAATAACAGTGACTGAAAAAAAGAGTTTCTCTTTCACATAAGGTCTGGGGATGAACGTTCCAGAGCTGGTATGGCAGTTCTATAAAGCATACTGTAAGATTTGAAGGCATAGAAACAGGACAGGTCAGCTGATTTGACCTTGTGGTAGTGTTTATTCTGCATTAGCCTGTATACCTGTCTTCTGTTTCTGTCAGACTCTTTGAGGTTGGTGGCCCAGAATTCTATCTTATTGTGCCCCTATTCTCCCAATGAGCTTCCACCTTTTGGTCCAGAAGAGCTGCTTGAACTCTAGCCATCTAATCTGCAACCCAGCCAGCAGGAAGAAAGAAGGTCATGCCTAATCCCAACCCCTAATCTTTAAATACACTTCCCTGGAGTTCCTCACACCACTTCCCTTTACATTCTATTGGCCAGAACTTAGTTATACAACCACATCTCATTAGGAAATAGAGCCCTTTTTTTAGACAATCATGTGCACAGCTGAAGGGAGTCATTTCCAGGGAAGAAAGGGAGAAAAAAGGGACACCTGGGTGGTTCAGTTGGTTAAGCGTCTGCCTTCGGCTCAGATCATGACCCCAGAGCCCATGGATCGAGTCCCACATCGGGCTCTTTGCTCAGCAGGGAGCTTGCTTCTCCCTCTGCCTGCCACTCCCCCTGTTTGTGTGCGCATGCTCTCTCTCTCTGACAAATAAATAAATAACATCTTTTTAAAAAAAAGAATGGGAGAAAAGATATTGCAAGACAACCGGCAGGCTCAGCCAAGCCATGCTTGCCTTTATGACCTTGGGCAAGTCACTGTATTTCTCTGGGCCTCAGTCTCCCTATACCCAAAGTAAGAGAATCAGACCAAATGATCTCTCTTCAAATCCCTTTTCAGGGGCACCTGGGTGGCTCAGTCGGTTCAGTGTCTGACTTTGGCTCGGGTCATGATCCCGGGGTCCTGGGATCGAGCCCGCCTGGGGCTCCCTGCTCAACGAGGAGTCTGCTTCTCCCCCTGCCCCTCCCCTCCCTCTTGCTCTCTCTCTCTCAAATAAACAAATACAATCTTTTTTTAAAAAGCCCTTTTCTGTTCTGAAATTCTATAATTCAGTTTTATAAACTTAGATGAATCTGAGGTTATTCAGATAAAAGGAGGCCTCTCTGCCAAGTACATGGCATAATCAATTGTTGGAATTGAAACCTTCCGGTGATGAGGAGGGATTTAGGAACTTTGCCTTCTGGCCTGTTGTCAAAATAGGCTAAGCATCCCTAGCGGATAAATAGTCCAACAGTGTGTGTGATACCACCCACGCACTCTGATGCTCCTGTTTCCAAGTTTGCCCTCACTCTCTGTACCTGTTTGGGTTTTTCTGCTTAGGATTTTGAGAGCTGTATCTATTGAGGGAAGGATAGCAATCCCAAAGATCTCTCATACCTCATTAACGATATGATATGAAACAGCAGGACCAGTGGTCCAGTGGTATGTTGTTCTGGTCCACTTAGTCGTGATTATATATATATTTTTTAAATTGGGATAAAATTCACATGCCATAAAAGTCACCATTTTAACATGTATAAGTCAATGCTTGTTAGTATAGTCACAAAGTTGGACAACTATCACCACTACCTAACTTTGTAACACTTCATCATCCCAAAAAGAAACCCTGCATCCACTAGTGTTCACTCATCCCCTTGCCCCTGGCAACCATGAATCTTTCTGTCTCTATGCAGTTGCCTATTCTGGATATTTCATATAAGAGGAATCACATAATAATGCGGCCATTCTGCCTGGCTTCTTTCACTTACCATAATGTTTTCAAAGTTTATCCATGCCGTACCTCCTGTCAGTACATCATTCTTTTTGATTGCCATGTAACATTCTATTGTGTGGATGGACCACATTTTGTTGTCGTTGGGCATTTGGGTTGTTTCCACGTTTTGGCTATGATGAATAATGCTGCTCTGAACATTCACGTACAAGTTTTTGTGCGGACGTATGTTTATAATTCTCTTGGGTGTTGTGGTTATGTTCTTTGGAAAGAAGATGCAAAGTGCATTGTGGGTCTCCTTGGAGGAGAACACAGGTCTTCCCAGTAGTAAGAGAATAGACACTGGAATAAAGCAGATCCAAGGTGCTCATTAAGTGAATTTGGAGAAAGTTACTTAAACTCTCTGAGCCTTAGTTTTCACATTTTTAATAAGGGGATGATAATACTCACCTCAGGACGATGAAATGAAATAAAGAATGTAGGATTCCTGCTATATACATTTGGTATTCAATAAATGGAAATATTATTGTGCTAAATTGTCAGATTGATAAAGACCGAAACTACATCAGGCCTATCCATACCTAGACCTCAGCATCTACAGAGCCTGGCATGCATGCAGTGACCAATAAATATTTATTGAATAAATAAATAAATGACCTCAAAACCCTCATTTTGAGGGTC